CCCCAAACGGTAACCCCGACACACCTGTCCACATTCTCACAGGCGCTGAAAGCATGGCTATAATCCTGGGCCTGTTTGGCAATCTTATCAGCTGAGGCAGGCATTAGATACCTAACCTGAAGCTCAGTAATAGCCACATCCACTCCCAAATCGGAAAACCGTTTAATGTTTTCCTGAAGGGTTGCGGGAACCTCACCCTCCTTGAAGTGTGCCTGCATACCGACCCCATGTATGGGCACACCCTTAGCTTTCCAGCCCTTCACCAACTCGTATAATGCGTCCGACTTTTTATCCTTGGCTTCGATGCTGTAGTCATTGATGTATAGCTTGGCGTTAGGGTCGGCCGCGTGTGCCGTACGGAAAGCCTCCTCAATGAAACCGGAGCCTAGAGTTCGCGAAAATATGCTGTCCCTCAGCTTATTGCCCGACCCGTCCTCATTGAGCACCTCATTGACGACATCCCACGCGTAGATCTTACCTATGATTTTGCATCAAATGTTTGCATTTTATTAGACTTTATTTGTATTTATAAATAATAATACTTAAAAAGCAATTAAAACTACAAATTAACTTAATTAAATTAATTAAACTAGTAAATACCTTTGAAATGTGCGGCCACTGTATTAATATGGTCCTTGACCACTTTCTCGAGCTCAGCCTTTTTGCCATCAAGTGCACTCACGTACGAAGGTAACTCAGTGTGCCATAGGAAGGTGTGTCCCCTAATCTTCATGTCATGTGTCTGTGCAAACTCCACCATTTTGTCGGCCGTTTTCCAGTTATACTGTCCTTTACTGGTCTCCAGTAATCCCCACTTCATCTCATTCTCAGGTGTCATGCAATTGAACTCCTGGCCTAATATATCCAGGTATTGTTGATCTCCCAGGGCATGGGAGGTCATGGCTGACCCGATGTATTTCTGTTTGGCTTGATCTCGGAGGTGCCCCTCGATTGAACTGCCGGTGCCCATCATATTCATGAAAAATTAGATTTAATCACATATTTATCAAATAGTTTGTAACATAGTAAATATACAGAAATACCATGCTTACATAATTAAAACCGTAACAAAAACTATGAACTTTGATAGCATTTTCAAAATGTTATTTAATTACTTTTATTTATTTATTAAATGTTATATTACAGTATTATCATAGACTACACTGTAAGAGACTGTAATTTATATACTTGGTATTTTGATGTCGATTTGACGTAAATTGTAAAAATATGTATTTATATACAGATTTTCTGTAAATCGGCAAATTAATTGTTATAATGATAAATTAATACCATTTATTTAATATTACAGATTTTCTGTATATATTGTTTTATAATAAATGTGACAAATAGAATTGCAAAATAATGTACATGTATAAATATTATTAATGAAATACATTCAGATCTTAATATACAATTTAATAACAATATTATTATTTAAACAAAACTAATTTTTACAAATTAAAAATCACATTCATTTCAAAACTTTACGGACGGCTTCTACGGCGGGTTTGGGCTTAAAATCCTTTGTCCACAACTGCTGTTCCCCATAACCCGTGTCGAAGAAAAACGAGTATTTATCCGTAAACCCCCAAACGGTAACCCCAACACACCTGTCCACTTTCTCACAGGCGCTAAAAGCATGACTATAATCCTGGGCCTGATTTGCAATCTTATCATCTGATCCCGGCATCAGATACCTAACTTGAAGCTCAGTGATGGCCACATCCAGTTCCAAATCGGAAAACCGTTTGAGATTCTCTTGTAAGGTCTTGGGAACGTTACCCTCTTTGAAGTGAGCCTGAATACCCACCC